CTATTGGCGCCGAGACCTCGCACGCGGATGCAGACAGACACTGCTGGGCTCTGTCGCGTGCACTGGGGGCTGCGGTACCTCGCGCCTGCTGGGCGCGGGCACGGACAGACACGGGGCCGGGCACTGCCGCGCTGCATGCGTGGCCAGTGACCATGGCCGGCCCTTGCCAGCCTTCCGGCGAATTTTTCCGCTGACATGCAACACATATCATCTCAATATGATAAAATAGCCACAAAAATGTTAAGAAGTACTAGTAGACCCTGGGTCAACATGCATGTTGCTCGGTAGGGCCTAAATGGCACGTACGAGCACTGACTCACCGAACCAACTATAAACTCTTAAACATATGAACATGGCCGAGTGTTTAGAAACTTAAAACAAGGCTAATGAGGCTGAAAAGATAACTTAAACTAGCATGCATAATACCTAGGCTCGGGGGTCCAAAATAACACATTTTCATGAACAAGTTGACCAAGGTAACAAACTCCAATCATGCTCAAACGTATACACCATCAAAGACATAATATATGTGGGTGATTAAGCTATCATTCTCGACTTAGGCATACATGCATCTAAATTTCCAAATTTAAGCTTCGTAAAATCCAAAACTCATGAATTTTGACGTGCATGGCTTGCTTTTTCTTCATGAAAAAACCTAAAATATCATGAAATAGCTGAGGAAAAAGGATGGCTCGAGCTAACCTTCACCGAAAATGGAAAATGGCTACTAGGGCCTTGTTAGGGCTTGGTCGCGGCCTTGAGGGGTTAGGACTTGACTCGGGGGAAACTTTGACGAACTTGGATGAAAGAGGAGTCTTAGAAATGTCCAAGAAACACTTTGAAACGGATGGACTTCGGTGGAAAATGGCTGGAACAAGCTGGACCTCGGTGCTCCTTCTTCTCGGGCTAGGCGCGCACGGAATGGGTAAGGTAAGTCCTTCTCGGTTTTTCTCTCAATTCCTCACTAAGTGCTCGAGCTTTAATATGTCAAAATGACTTACACTCAGCTGAGAATGAGTTTAAAGAGGGGTCTTGGGCGTATATAACTAAGTTGGTCAAAGGAGACATTTTTTAAGTGGAAAACTCCCACTTTCATGCGCATGGGGACAAGGGCTGGCCTTGGGGCTGATGGAGCAGCATCTTGCACGGTTTTAGGTGGTCTCCTAGGTGGTTTGCAGAGCACTAAAAGCTGGTGAAGCGGTCTGGTCAGATGCACTAGGCAATGGGGGACAAACTCTTACACATTGGATTAAAATAATCCATGCACATGCACCCACTTAGGCTAAGTACTAATTAACTCTTCTTAATACTTTCTTAGGACCATCTTAGCTCAAATTAATCTTCATTAAGTCCTTAATAACCACAACATTTGGTTCTTGAGGAAGTGGGCCGAAACTTCAAGAATTGGGCTAAAAAAGGTGGGTTGTCGCGCTGCCACCGTTGGGCCTGGGCGCGCTGGCCCTGGGCACGGCCTGCTGGGGCGGCACGGGCTGGGCGCGGGACTGCTTGGGCTGCGCATGTGAATTGACTTGGGCTGAGGATACTACTAGTTCTAAGGCTGAAAATGATGCACCAACACTTAGGAAAAATGTGTAAATGCTTGGCTATGGTTGTGCAATGGCTTGGCATGGTTCGGGCCCCTCGGGCGCGAGTGGCTCGCGAGTGGACTCGCGGCACTTGCTAGGGCCGAGTGCTAGGGTTCTAGGGCTAGGCTTGGCACTTTTCAACACTTAGAAAAATTCAAGTGTTGTGCAACCAAGGCTAGGGAATAAATGGTGCGAGACTAGAGCTCGAGGCTAGGGTTCGACAAGAACGTAAATAAGTCGAACATAATAACTGAATAACTATTCATGTACTTAAAATAATTGAGCATTTAAGATCATAAATACATAACTCAGAATTTATGAAAATTACGGATTTCACTTATAGTCGAGCAGTGAAACCGTTCTATTATTATTACTGATCGGGGCGTTACAATTACCTTGCCACAACATAATATCAATTGACCCATAGTACATGGTTTAGTCATATAATCTTGATTATTTTACTTTCAAGTGTTAAATATACATTTTTTTATCACAAATAATATTCTTCCATATCTTATCTCAGTACCACAATTACATTAAACTATTTAACACCACTTAAAAAAATACTAATACAGCGTATAAACAATCGAGGGTGTTTCCTCTTCTTCTTCTTCATATGACTTTGTAATTTGTCCAATCGAGGGTGTTTCCTCTTCTTCTTCTTCTTCTTCTTTGCCTTTCCTGCTCATCCCATTAATATTCTGTTCAATTCATAAACAATCAAAACAGAGGCCATCATTCATTTTATTTAGTGTGTAAAAGTACACAAAAATAATGGCCCTCATTTACTATTTCTGAAAGCTACTGATATCATATCTCAAATAAAAAGCTCCCTGCTCTTTCTTCATATATCTTCCCATCTTCGATTCAATTTCATCTCATAAAAAATTTTGAAGGCCAGTTTTGTTAGACATTTTGAGATAATTGAGAGTGGAATTTTATCATGGGGAAAACCGGCCGGTGGTTGAGAAACTTCCTCACCGGAAAAAAAGATATTAAGGAAAAGGAAAAGGAGAAAGAAAACCAAAATTCAGATACCAATAATGGCTACGACCACCGTCCGACGACCCCCGTCTCGTCTGCGCAGCCGACCACGCCCAAGGAGAAGCGGCGGTGGAGCTTTCGCCGGTCGTCCGCCGCTGCGACGGGCCGCCCTGAGATGATTCCGGCGGACGGCGCTCACGGAAGCGACAATGGGACGGAGAGCGGCTCGAGAAAGCACGCCCTGGCGGTGGCTGTGGCCACCGCGGCGGCCGCGGACGCGGCGGCGGCGGCGGCGAAGGCGGCCGCGGCCGTGATTCAGCTGGCGGCCGAGTGCGGCAGGGATGGGGCTGTGGAGGAAGCCGCGGCTGTGAAGATCCAGTCCGTTTTCCGCTCCTATTTGGTACGCGTTTCTTTTCCCTTAAGATTGATACATTATTTTCAGATGGCCACAAATTCAGCCTTTAATATTCGTTTGGTTAAATTGGAATTTTCTTTCTTTTTTTTCCCCTAAACTCTTCCCTCTATTTTATGGTTTTGTTAGCCAATATTCCAGATTTAGGGTGACTTAATTTTCCAAACTTGATTCGAATTCTAAGGGGCAATATAATTTAGAAAAAAAGTTAGTTTTCTAAAGTCAAATTAGATTAAAACATATCATATAAATGGCCCTATTTGGCTAAGTAATTTTGTAAGTTAATAATTGATAGAAGATTGTAATAGTTGATTTGACAGTTAGATTATATTAACAGTTTGTAAATAATTGTTTGGTTAATAACTGATTGTAAGACTAATTCTGAAAGATTTATATTAATATTTTATCATACAATTTCTCTCTTTTTCATACATCGAGCTTTTCCAAAGGTAAAAAAACTTAATAAATAATTTTTTCACCAAACAAGCTAATTAACATATTTGACAAATCAAACTTTTAAATAAGATTCAATCCGTTAATTTACATCAATCAATCAACATCCAAACATGCCGAACAATCCATGTCATAGTGTGAAAGGCTACTTACTGGAGAAATTATAGTGTCACATAAATGATGATTTAACTCTTCATCATGAAGAGGGTAAACTATTATACATCTTTCCTTCTTTAAGAGCCTATTTATGATCTTTAGTGGTAGCTCAATTTGTGAAATATCTCATTTCAGGCAAGAAAAGCTTTGAACGCACTGAAAGGACTAGTTAAGCTTCAAGCACTGGTACGAGGTCACCTGGTAAGAAAACAGGCCACCGCTACACTTAGGTGCATGCAAGCACTAGTAAGCGTGCAGGCCCGAGCCTTAGCCCAAAGAGCGAGAATGACCGAAGATATTAAACACATTGATCAAAAGCCATACAATCATCCCAGAAAATCCACCCACGATTACACTCTTAGCGACTCCAATCAAGTAAAGTCGCCACATTCCCTTCCTATTTTAATTACTGGTTGACAAATTATAGAATCGCACTGAGTCGCCGCGTTATACGGTCATAAGCATTGACATAAAACACGATCTCATTATGTTGAACAATCCTTTCTTCTTAACACATGTTTATGTCCTTAAATTGCAATTTTAGTCACTACCATAACTTGTTCGACCTCTTCGAATTGCATTTTTTATTTTCATCCCAAATATTTGCAAAAAGGTTACAAAAAGGTCCTTTTCATACATAAGGAACGAAATTGAAACCTTATTTGCAAAACATAAAGGACTTTTTTGTTGGGAAAATGACCTTTTTGTAACATGTTTGCAAACATACGGGACGAAAATAAAAAATGCAATTTGAAAAGGACGAAAAAGTTAAGGTAGTAAAACCTGCAGGACTAAAATTACAATTTACTCTATCTAAAATACTATTGGATTTACTCGTGCTTAGGATTATGACCGAATAGCAGAAGAGAACATAAAGATTGTGGAGATGGACCTAGGTGAAAACAGGCCCATTGCCAAAGCCCGAAACAGCTACTCAAACCACAATACTCAGGGAGAACCGTGGCCAAGCAAGTATGAGGTCTCGCCATCCCCATCGTCATGCAGCAACTATTTGGAGGATTTTTCCCGTGCACCGCCGCTAAGGTCAGAGTATGCAGAGTCCCTTTGTGGGGAGTACCCGAGCTACATGGCCAACACGGAGTCGTCTCGGGCCAAGGCCCGTTCCCACAGCGCGCCCAAACAGAGGCCCGCGGCAGTTGAGGCATACGAGCGCAACCCGAGCAGTCGGCGTCGGCCGTCCATTGAGGGGAGGAATGTGCCGAGGGCAGTTCGGATGCAGAGGTCGTCGTCTCATGTAGGGTCTGCGGCGCAGAATTATCAGTATCCGTGGTGCATGAAGCTCGACCGCTCGGCTGTTTCCCTTAAGGATAGCGACTGCGGCTCGACTAGCACCGTGCTTACCAATACGAACTATTGTAGGTCGCTCGTCGGGTTCCAAGTGAGTAAAATTGGAGTTGGTTTACTTTGTATTTCTTTTTGTTGAAATATCACTTGTAAGTTGTCTTACATTGATTTTATAAAGTAAATGAATCTAGTTTATAAGCATAATGAGTTAATCCTTCCATCATAAATTGATTTTTTATTGGAACCTCACTAAAGTGCATCTAGACTCATTTCACTTGGAAATATTCAAATTTTAATATTTACAAGTTTTAATTGTTGTTTTATGTTTGTTATTTTGGATTTGCAGGTGCAAGGAGCTAGGTACTAGTTTCATGTGGTTGATGAATGAATAAATATATCAGATAAACCCACAGTTGGGAAGAGACAAGGAACCATTTTTATTGGTGTTTTTTGTGATTATTATTATTATTATTATTATTATTATTATTATTATTATTATTATTATTATTATTATTATTATTTTCGTTATTAGATCTTGTTTGAGAAAGTAATGATTGAAGCTTTCTTGCCCATGTACTTTTTATTACCTGCACTACGATTGTTAACTTGGTTGTGATTTCCACTTTCTTCACCACAATGGTGAGGTCATGAATGAACTTCAATTTATTGAAATCAAATTTAATTTGCCCGTGAGTGTTTATTGGAAGCATCAGATCTTCATCAACAACACAAATTGAGCGAGAGAAATAAAGAGATCGAGACAAAAAAATGCGGCTTATGAAATTAGGGCAAAAGAATAAAATGTGTTTTAGGGATACATGGGTCTTTTATACTAAGAGCAACTACAATGCTGCTCTATAAAGGCCACATTAGTCTATTGTGGCGTAAATTCACACTTCTGTGCTACTCCACATATTTGCGCTCAACGCTAGATTTTTTTAATGTATTTTAATATAATATTAATGATACTTTTTTGTATAATGTGTATTAATAATGTATTTTTTCACTAAATAACTTTGTGTAATGTATTTTTATGCTAAAGAATTTTGTGCGTATTTAATGATGTATTATAATTTTATTTTATCAATTTTTAATTTTAAAATGATACATATGAATAAAAATTTAACACAGTAAAATGATACATATGAACAAAAAGAAATAAAACATATTTTTATTATTTAGGTAATAAAAATTTATATAAGATTATATATGTATATATATATATATATATTATTATTTTTTTTGTTAAAAAAAATATATATATTCGAGGTAGAGTAAAATGTAGAGCGAAGGGCAGGATACGAAACTTGATTTTTGTTTTACTCTACTTTAGAGTAGAGTAAACTCCGCGCTAGAGTAGAGATAAGAGTTGGAGATGACCTAACACAGTAAAACTAAAGGTGCTAAGAAACTAATGATTTTGTTACATTTTATAAGTAAAGTTTCTAAATTAAATGTATAACTATTCTAGTACCTCCCGCAAGTAGAGCGTGTATATTAGGCATGCTCAACTTAGAGATGAGGTTCTTGAAGAGTAGTCATGATAGTGGTTTTGTTAGAAAATCAGTCAATTGCTCTTTTGTTGAAATGTGAGAGAGTTGTATTAGTTCTTTAGCTATATTTTCTCATATTAGATGGCAATCCAGCTCAATGCGCTTTGTTCTCTCATGAAAAATAGGATTAGACGTCGTAGCTATTGGTGATTTGCTATATGTGAACAAAGAAACAGGTGCAGTAAGGGTATAAGAAGTTCAGTGCAGAGAGATAATAACCATTGAATTTCATAGATTGTATAGACTAAGGCCCTATACTCAGCTTTAACAGAAGAACTACTTATAGTGGGTTCTTTCTTAAACTTACAAGAAATAAGTGAATCACCAAGGAAAATCAAAATTCTTAAACTTATAGTGGGTTCTTTCTTAAATTCATAGATTGTATAGACTAAGGCCCTATACCCAGGCTAGTTCAAAATTCTTAAAAAAATATTTTTGTGACACATATTTATAAGAGTTGCCTAGGTTAAGTTTGGCTCAAATTCTTTAAAAAAAAATAAAAAAATAGATAAATTCTTCTGGCCCGGGTTTACAAGAGTATCCCACGTTCAGTTTGGCCCAAAAGTATAGCTCACATCTTATCTAATTCACTTAAAAATAAAAAAGAGAAAATTGCACCATACACTAACAGTTTACATTTTAATTGCAATTATGTACAGGCCTTGTAAATATTCACATTTTAACATGATGATCACTTTTTAATTGCAAAAATACGATTGATATTATCTCACGTGATTAAAGGTAAAACTTATCCCTTCCATAATAACTACTCACTATTAATTGGTAAGTTATTATCTCACACACATCTCGGGAACCTCCCAATTTCAACCAAGTCAACACAAGTTCTCCTCATCTTTCCCACCACCCCTGTAACCGAAACCCTATCTCCCATCGTCTCTCTCCCACTACGTCCTTTGCACCCCAGTTCAGCCATGGCAAGAACTAAGTTTGGAAGAAGTCCGAACTCTGGCACTGAGATACCCCCTCACCGAAGATCGAGCTCTCGCCTTTAAGAGTTACAAGGCAAAAAAAAAAAAACCTACAGTCGTGCAAAAAAAAAGCTCAACTTCGAAAAATCCATGAAACCTAATAACCCTACAAAATCACCGCGCAAGAATAGAAACGAAAATAATGATTCTCCATTAGATCCCCAACATTTTCGGTCGGATCCAGTTGACAAAAATCAAGAAGGTGCACGGGGACGGAGTAAAGGAAATAGACAGCAAATGCTAGAAAATTGGGCAAATTCTGATTTCGATTTCGAAGATGAATTTTAGAAAGAAGATGGTGAAAATGAAGCATTCTCGAGCGAAGAAGACACTGACGAGCCACAAATTGAAGAAAAAGACAAGAAATGAAAATTGAAAGGTTAATCGAGATATGATCCGTCAAAGAAGAGGTCCAGTCGATTTGAGAAATTCGAACGAGAATTTAGATAGAAGTGCCAAGGTAAATGCCCAATTTTTTTCAATTACCCATCAGTTTAAATAGTATTATGAGAGAAATATTATATTTTTTTTCTCTTTGTTTGGGTGATTGAATATATGAATGGCGACATTTCATGACTTTTTGTACTTACTTGTGGATGTGGGGGTTGTTGATTTTCACAACATAAGTTATTTCTGATGGATGTGGTGATTGTTTAATATGTATGCTTTATGTGGTCCCGTCGTTGGCAAAAGTTATATTGTATATATTATGTATATTTCAAGCATATGTGTACATACCAAACATCTTTATATGCATTCGTATGATTCAGTATATGATATGTATATATTTCTGCAAATGCTATGTTTTCCTAGGTATATATTTTGCACACGAGTTGGAGCTATATTGTATATATTATGTATATGTTAAGCATATTTGGCCATACCAAACATCTTTATTGCATTGTGTATATTTCGTGTATATAAGACATGTTATGGGACATGCATATATATTTGTATATTCATTTCATCAGAACATATATGAGTTTTCAACTAAGCGTAACATAGTTGACTATTCATATAACCATAACAGGGGTTATTTTTTGTGTGCTTTTTTTTTAATATATATTTTTTTTTTTCAGTGGCTGTGGTGTGTTTGTTGCATCATTCGCCGAACACTTCATAGCCGATGTCGACATTACACGGAAGAAGTACTATCCCAGTTTAGAGAGGCATAGATATGCATACCTGCTCTATAAGCATGGGCAAATGAAGATAGAAAATGATCTTGATAGCGAAGATGAATCTCCCGGCACACTTTCGGACACTTCCCGTTTCAGTTTAATTAAATGATTTGGTTTTGTTATGTTTGGTAAAATGTTGACACTACTTAACTTTTGGTTTGTGTTTGGTGACACTTCCCGTTTCAGTTTATTTAGGATTTTGTTATGTTTGGTGAAAGCACTACTTAACTTTTGGTTTGCGTTAGTATTAACAACATTATAACTTTTGACGCTACTTAATTTTTATTTATTTTTTTTTTGTTTGTGACTTCAATTTTTTTGTATCTACTATCTATTAACATATTAATATTAACATATTACAAATGAATATAAGTTGTATATGATCTATATAAAATTCTGTTATATATACATGTCTGACATACCAGTACAATACAAACTGAACTTTAAAAGCATATAAACTGCAAAAAAACACTTTTATTGAATATGATTTGTATATGATCTGTATATATTACAGAACACATACCGAAATTTTCAAATATTATCTATAGCGAATATTATATTACTATGTATATCATTTGTACATAAATGTATATGATCTGTATATAATATGGATCCCAGAATATGTGTATACGTTACTTGGTGTTTACCTACATATAATACGGATCACATTCCAGATACTTAAAATATTATTACAGTGTCGTTCTAACTTGATTGTATATGTTCTGTTTATGTTTTGTATATAATCTGTATATGTTATTATCGTGTATGAGCTGTATTTTTCTTGTCTGTGTATTCCCAGTATTTTAGGAGAGATAGTATGTTTCAAATTCAAAATATGCTTCCTTCCAACTTACCTAACAAATAGGTTATATCCACTTACCTATTTTTTTCCAACTGACTTGCATGAGAGAGATAGTTTGCTTGAGAGAGAGGGCGTGATTCATGAAAACTGAAACCCTTAATTAGCGGCCAGTTTTAATTCAACATAAAATAAAGACACTGACTCCAATTAAGTATTATGGCTAATAAATTAGTCTATATCGTAAAATTGCAATATCTTAATATTCTTGTGGTAAGAGAAAATTTCGCCAATAAAAAAATGAGAAATGCTATGGAGCCAATGGTTGGCTCCTTTATGGAGCCAACCACCAATGTTATAATGTCACGTAAGCCATGAGAAATGTTATGGAGCCAATGGTTGGCTCCTTTATGGAGCCAACCACCAATGTTATAATGCCACGTAAGCCAACCAACCATTGGCTCCATAACATTTCTCATGAAAAAGTTACCACTTACACCATTTAATATTTCATGTCAACATTCTTAAAAGATCTTCACTTCGGCCCATCGCTCAACTATCTACATCATCTCTACTTTATCATTCTTGGATCTTCTTTCTTTAAACTACTTGATGATAGAAATGGTTTATTTAAAACTGATAGAAATTGATTCTTGATTAAGCATTAATTCTTCTATTAAATATAAAACACTCCATACATGACAAACGTAAAATTTACGAACGAGGGCCACGTTGTCTTGAATTAATTTTCAAACACCTAAAAATAAAAAATAAAAGATGACAAATATANTTTTCATCAGTTTTTTCTTTTATATTTGATTCTAATTATTTGAGGCCCTAATTGTTCTATTCACGTTTTTTTCTTGTCCCAAGTGTAAATAATTGTAATCACTTTTTACTCTTGTTTTCACTTCCTTAGGGCATCCGCATTTGTTAATTTTTTTC